TGCATCATTAGCTAACCACTGCACAATCTAATATATCCTTCCATCATTGCTTTGTGTCATTCCATGGACATGTTGGACTGTAATGCCACTTCTTTATTTCTTTGGGCAGAATGCTTTGGTCCCAACGATACTCGCCCCCCTTCTCTCTGCTCAGAAAATAAAGCTACGTTGTCCAATTGAATATTTTCAGAGTTATGTCTCAAGCCCAGCGCTGAAAGGGGAGGGACACAGATACCCACACAGAGCATTTCCTTCTGCTAGGATGCATTCCCTTCAACGCAGGGGATGCCAAAACGAATGCCAGTTCTGTCAATTGTAAGTGAATAACTTCGGCCCTGCCGTCCTCTCAAACCTTCGGCTCGCCCTCCTGGGGCCACAAATACGACTTCACAGACCTCGGGTCCTGCACTGCTCGGAGCTGCCGCTCGGGGGCGCGGAATGCCCTCCGCCGCTCGGGAGGCGCAAGGGAAGGCGATGCGGACGGGGCCATTTGCGCTGCCAGAAGAGGGGGGGAGCGGAGATGCGGGTTCCTCACGGGAAGGCCTCGGTCAGGGCTAGCGGGGAGCAGGATGCGTCCGGGGGGTATAGGCCGGGGCCCTGAGACGGGGGCCGAAGAGCGGGCCGCGGCATCTGTAGGCCTAGTATCGCGCCCGGCTACCAGGGGGTGGCGACGCGGTTGGTTGGGGCCAGCGGCGGCCGAGGCGCGGCGGGGTCAGTTCTCTTTAGTGTTTGCCGATGTTGGAGGCGTCTCCAAAGTGTCCCCGGGAACCAGGTAACGGAGGCCGTGGGGGGTACCCGGACGGGCCCCGCTGGAACACCGGGGGGAACCGGGAGACGCCCAGCCGCCGCTCTGAATCTCGGCGGTGGAACTGAACTCGGGTAGAGAAGGGAGATGCTGGGGGCGGCTGCTGCTGCTGCTCCCGTCGCCAGCATGGAAGAGAGAGGGACCGCCTCCTTCACCCGCTTCTCTTCCTTTTTAATTCTGTCCCGCCGGCGGCGGCAGGAGGAGCAGGAACAGCCAGCTTTTTTTTTACATGTTAGAAGCAACCACCATACTAGGACACTAGGCTGTACACCGTATATCAGAGGAGGCAAGGCAGATCATGTGGTGCACACTTGTCGAAAGAAGAGAGAATTACACAGGAAGCTAAAGAAACAGCTGGGACAAGTGCATCATTAGCTAACCACTGCACAATCTAATATATCCTTCCATCATTGCTTTGTGTCATTCCATGGACATGTTGGACTGTAATGCCACTTCTTTATTTCTTTGGGCAGAATGCTTTGGTCCCAACGATACTCGCCCCCCTTCTCTCTGCTCAGAAAATAAAGCTACGTTGTCCAATTGAATATTTTCAGAGTTATGTCTCAAGCCCAGCGCTGAAAGGGGAGGGACACAGATACCCACACAGAGCATTTCCTTCTGCTAGGATGCATTCCCTTCAACGCAGGGGATGCCAAAACGAATGCCAGTTCTGTCAATTGTAAGTGAATAACTTCGGCCCTGCCGTCCTCTCAAACCTTCGGCTCGCCCTCCTGGGGCCACAAATACGACTTCACAGACCTCGGGTCCTGCACTGCTCGGAGCTGCCGCTCGGGGGCGCGGAATGCCCTCCGCCGCTCGGGAGGCGCAAGGGAAGGCGATGCGGACGGGGCCATTTGCGCTGCCAGAAGAGGGGGGGAGCGGAGATGCGGGTTCCTCACGGGAAGGCCTCGGTCAGGGCTAGCGGGGAGCAGGATGCGTCCGGGGGGTATAGGCCGGGCCCCTGAGACGGGGGCCGAAGAGCGGGCCGCGGCATCTGTAGGCCTAGTATCGCGCCCGGCTACCAGGGGGTGGCGACGCGGTTGGTTGGGGCCAGCGGCGGCCGAGGCGCGGCGGGGTCAGTTCTCTTTAGTGTTTGCCGATGTTGGAGGCGTCTCCAAAGTGTCCCCGGGAACCAGGTAACGGAGGCCGTGGGGGGTACCCGGACGGGCCCCGCTGGAACACCGGGGGGAACCGGGAGACGCCCAGCCGCCGCTCTGAATCTCGGCGGCAGAACTGAACTCGGGTAGAGAAGGGAGATGCTGGGGGCGGCGGCGGCTGCTGCTGCTGCTGCTGCTGCTCCCGTCGCCAGCACGGAAGAGAGAGGGACCGCCTCCTTCACCCGCTTCTCTTCCTTTTTAATTCTGTCCCGCCGGCGGCGGCAGGAGGAGCAGGAACAGCCAGTCGGCCGAAAGGGGACGCAGGAACACCGGGGGGGGGGAGCCCGGTCG